ACACAGAGGGGATCCCCTGCCCCTGCCCACTCCCGCTGGGGATGTGCTCCTTACTGCTGGCGAAGGTGACGTTGATGCTGTAAGATGTCCCCTTGTGGAGCAGGCAAGGCTGAGTGGGGCAGGGGCTCACGTTCACCTCCTGGATGCTGCCGTCTATGGAACCTGCAAGGAAGAGTCGGGGTTACCGGGCCGTCTCCGCCTGCTGCTCTCCTCTCGCTGCCCCGCGGGCCGGAGCCACTCACCGCAATCAACGAAGCGGAGGGGCTCGGCCAGGGCGGTGGCGCCCAGCGCCAGAAGCAGGGCGAGCGGGGAGGGCACCATGGCGGCAGCAGCGGGCACGGCAGTGGCGGCGGCGGCTCCGCGGTGTCACATGAGCGCGGCGGCCCCGCCCGCCGGTCAGCTTGGGCGGGCCCCGCCCCGGGGCCGGGCCGGAGCCGCCGAGCGATCCCCGGGAGGGCCGGGAGGAGGAACCGCCCGCCCCCGCGGCCGAGGGCAAGGCTGCAGCCGCGAAAAGGGCGGTGGGAGAGTTTCTCACGACAGCCTCTGTCGTGACAGGGGACTACGGGACAGCCCGGGAGTGGTGGTGGTGTGCTGGAACTACAGCCCCTGGACAGACGGATTGACACCGTCTCCAAAAGCGCTGCCTCTGGCCATGCCCGCTCCCGGGCTGTCCTGGGACCGTCAGTGTCAAAGGCAGCAGCCGGAGGACAGGCTCAGATACAGTGCCATGGACCGGGAAGCTCTTTTGCTGCCCCCGCTGAAAGGGGAGAAAGCAACGCCCACAAAGCTGCTGTGGTAGACTCGTCCGTGGCCTTGTTCGTACATATCCCATGCCTCCTGTTCTGCATGTTGAAAGCTGTTTGCGCAACACGAGTGCCAAGAATTACATCTGCTGAGTACCTGGCGTGTCTGCCGCCTTTCACAGAGCACACACACGCCAGTTCTGGTTCTCAAACTCGTGAATTGCTAGAGACTCCCTGCTTTGTGCTGGGGATGCCAAGGCAAACCAGATGACGCTTCAGAAAGCATTTGACCCAAACTGACGTTTACAACTTTTCACCAGTTTCACATGGTAGCAAATTTTAGCCTTTCTGGGATCATGTCAGAACACAGTAGAGAGGCACGTGAGTGCTGATTTGGTAGGAACGTGGCAGAGCTGACACAGCGTCCCCCTTCAGACCTCTGTCCCAGTGAGGTGTCTGCCTGCTCAGCTGCAGCCGCACAGCCCAGTGACTCAGAGGTGGCACCCCATGCTTTGCTCAGGCCCTCTGCAAACGGTGTCACATCAGAGAGGGGTATGGGGCTTTTTAATGGGTGTTTTTTTAGATTTCAACTAAGCATTCAGTTTCAAGACACATGCATAGCAGGATACTTACCAAAACTTTATTAAAGAAAAAAAAAACAACAAACAACAAACCAAACCAACAAACAAATAAAAATCCCCAAAACCCAAAAAAACACCCTCAAAAAACCCCTGCTGAGACTAAGCCATGTATTTAACACTACCTAGGCACACTTTATAACTGACCCAGATAAAGGCTTTTCCTTGCACATGGAAAGCATGCCCTTCAAAAGGCTTCCCTTATCCACATCCTTCAAGTCTTACAGATGGTAAAGAAAGTTGCCTATCTGACTGCTGGTAACAGAACTGCTGTCAAGTCAGAGCAACACCACAAAGTGCCATCACACATTCACAGGATAAGCAGTGCTTGGAATCTGCTTGGGAGCAAATTCCACAGTCCATTAAATCAGGATGCCTCCCTGTGAAACAACTCACCAGGTATCTTTGCTTCACAGATGCTTTTACATAATGGCAGTGACTATCTACATACAAGTCAACGCATATTTCAAAGGCTTTGAACTAAAAATCATTGCATCTAGGATCCAAATTAACATTTTCACAGAAAATGTTTCCCTCCCTGCACCCCAAAATGGCGTAGTAAAAAGCCTAATAAGTGTATGTCTGTAAATCTACAGCCAAGGCCTTTACAGAGGAAAGAAGCAGAAACCTTCTGCCCAAGGTTTTTAGCTGATAGCATACATTACTATCGTGTCAGTTTTGCAATAACACTACTAAAGCTTAAATTCTCCAGGGCAGCATAAGCATCTTTGGCCAAACAGACCTTGCTTTTAGGCACATGCCCCCTGTGACATCTGATAACAGGCATAAGCCTCCAGGTTCCCTTGGAGCCAAAAATTGCTTAAGAAAGATTCAAATCAACTTCAGGCTGATCTCATTATTTTGCAGATGGAGGTCCTTTCAGATTACCAACATCACAGGGAGCTTATGCTGCACTGCAGAAACACCAGTGGAAAAGGCTAAGAAAGCAAGCAGACAAATTCTCTCCAGTAAGACTGATACTGGACTTGTTAATTTTTGTAGTTCAACCAACTCAACTTTATTACATGAGGATAAAGTCTGAAGTTCCACTTCATCAGCCATCTACACCTGATTAATCCAAATCCCTCCAACACAGCACTTGCAGCTCTGTAAACAAATGTGCTTGCAGGCACTACAGTGGCAGTGAACACAGCAGACAGGTTCTCAAGAAAAATCCACATACAGACACTAATCAATTTAACTGTTCTTTCAGCCAGAACATGTTCCTTTTGCTACAGATCGTCAGATCTCACATTTAAATTCATCTCATCCACTCTTGTATTCAACACCACGCCTGAGGTTTTATTATCACCAGTTTCTGAAGCACTGAAAAAAATTTTGTTTCCCTTCAGAATAGATAAAAGATGATTTTAGCATCATATTGCAGAGGAGAAATGAGCAAAATAGCTAGAAAATTCAACTCTCAGATAAATCTTTTCAATACAGTGCACTTAAAGGGAGCTAAAGGAACTCCCCAAACCACGACACCACAAACCAGAATAAGAACAGAAAATCAAAACACAAACTTAAAAACAGATTGTGTCTACCTATCAGAAACAATATGACCAAAAAATTATAAGAATCCAAGAAGGAAGAAAAACTAGATTGTTAACTCCGTGAAAAAAAAAAAGCGACTAACCATCCCTGTACCACATAGCTGATTGAAGGAAAAACGGCCAGTGATGAGATGCAAGGGAATAGCTGTTCTCCTTAGTTACCTCCACCTCCCCTTGTCACACCAAAAAGTTGTGCCCAGACCATGAGTCTCTCAGCACAGCAGATTATTAATTATACTAACTGTGAGTGATGCTAGTTGCCCTTTTCCTCATTCTTTCAGTCTGCAGTAATCATTTCAGCAATGTCCCAAAGACCCTTGAAGCTGCACGCCACATTTCTGTCACTTTAACACAGTAAAAATGAAAGCAACTCCAAAGTGTCTGTTTTTTGGGGCTACATCCATTCTCCAAAAAGTGTTCACAGTGAATACAGCCACAACATGGAGAAATGCAAGATCAATCTAATATACCCGACAGGAGTGAGAAAGAAAGCTAATGCAATATAGAAAGAAATCAGGCATGATCCATCTGAGTCTTTTCTCCAACGAGGTTTTCATTCCCTCCTCCAAAGTTGTCAGCTTTTGGGATGCCACACTCATAATAGTCGAGAAACACCCCAATATGTTTTTATTGAAACATTCAATGTTCCAATATTCCTGATGAGGATTCATCAACTATTGCAGGTGCCTGCATTAGTACCAGTCCTGCTGGGACCTTGCCTGTGATACTTTCCTGGCTTTACCCTAGCATCATTAGAGCTAACCCAAGAGTAGGCAAAATTAAACAGCTCAAACCAGTCTTTATTTACATGCTCAGGGTGGAACAAAAAGCAAAACCCCGTGGTTACAGAAGAATCACTTTGCTTGGAGCAGGATGGTGAGAAAGCTAACTGTGACAAGGTCCTAAAGTCCTCTGACGGTAAATCACCCCCTCCTGCTGGGATGACAGGTTTTCTTCCACCAGTCTTTCACACAGTCACTGTATGACTCTCCACGGGCCTGGCTAGGGCTGAGGAACAGGATTCCTCCCCCAGAAGCACATGAGGAACAAAGAGATAAAACACTCTTTTAACCACAAGCGCTCCATGATCGACCGGCTAGGCCACTGTCACACGGCAAACGTTCAGGAGGTGCTGAAACCACCGTGGGAGGGCAGCGAGCCCCGGGTGGCCGCAGGGGCCTGCCCGGAGTCGGGGGGGCCCTGCGGGGCCGCGGCCTCCGCCCCCCTCGCCGCGGTGGGAGGCGAGGGACGGTGTGGGTGTGAGAGCGCCGGGCAAGCGCTTCGACTGGGGACGACTGGCCTCCAGCTGATAAAGGAGAGCAAAGCAGAAAAGCCGGAATCAGGGAGAAACCCTAAACCCCCCGTGTTTGCTCTTCAGCCTACCCAACTGCCCTGCGGCGGCACCTTGATCCTTCTCTGGGTTCTGCTCAGGATAACCCTACGGCCAATCCCGGGACAAGCATGCGCGGACAGATAGCGCTCGCTGCTTATTTTATTACTCTTCACTGCTTCATGGCTGCAAACGCCCCCAAAGGCGAACAGCAGCTTCGTGCCTTTGAGCGCCTCTAACGCGTTCACTGAAGCTGACGCCGAGCACTGCCCGCGCAGGGGCAGGGGCACGGGCACGGGCACA